GAATGGATTCAAAAACGGTAAAACTCAACTGTTTAACTCTAGGGGAGTTGGAAAATGAGCCTATTTTCAAAAATAGTGGCGTGTTCCTTTAATATAATTTTTTTTAATTTTGTTAATACATTTTGTTACATACCTGTATATTAAAAGTAAATGCTAAAATATAAAAAGAGATCTTTGTTTTGTCATTGTGGTTTTGAGGCATATTTAAATATGCAAAAATGTGAATAAGATTTTAAGCTATTGCAGATGGAACGATTTGCACAGAATAATGACTTTGGTTTGATCTGGTCCTCAAACAAAGCTGTTATATGGCTTTATAGAAGTCATATAGACTATTTTTGCAAGTCATATAGATACTTTTACAATTATTTTGAGTAATTTTTGGAACTTGCCAGGCCTCGTTACGATTCAAGTTCATTATATGGATTAGGGCTGTCAAAAAAAAAATGTTAATTTCGAATATTCGTCGAATTTAAAATAAAAATCCACATTCGAATGCAAAAACATTGCATTCGAATTTTAGGTGTGCGTTAAGGAGGCAACCTTATCAGTGGCGCACGAGATGGGATGGGATCTTGTTTACATCAAAACTGAAACCAAGCTGTTCACACAGAACACATATGTCACGCATTTTCTATAGGGACATCTATCACCGTTGCACTCGCATCTCGCACAAGGGAGCCGCATGTTTAGAAAGCCATGTAAAATTAATGCAAGTTGAACTTTGAAAAAAACATATATCGAGATTTTATGGTGGGTTTTTTTCCACATCCCAATGCATCTCATGTTTTTAAATGAAAAATGTACTCTGTGTGATTGGCTTTCCGCCCTTTGTATTAAACTATGCATACATACAAGATGCTGTTTTGTTTATAGTTGTTTAAGCAACTTAATTAATTATAATTGGTTTATAAACGTTATTTTAAACATTATGCACTTTTTTCCACAGATAGTCATGTTATCTTATGCTTTGAATAACCGTGCATTAGTAATATTTTGCTCATTGCGCCCTCTTGTGGCCTCAGAAGAGAAGCCAAAAGCTTTTCTTCACCCTAACTGAAATGATGCATTTTAAATTCAAATATAATTCAAATTTTGATAATATTTAAGTACAAAATTCGAATTTAGTTTTTCAGCCATTTTGACAGCCCTAATGTGGATGAGATGGGCAGGACAATCTGCAAAATATTTCTTAGTAAATGATAGCAGAATTCATTTTTTTTCCGTGAACTATTCCTTTAAACCTTTATATTTTATAGTGGGCGAGAGGGAAAATAACTAAGTGACAGAAAGAGACATAGATGGAAGGTGAGAAGTGTAGAGCTATAATTGCTGTGGTCTTGGGTCTGACCTGACCTGACCTTGCGCCAGAAGGAAACACAGTACGTGTAGAATCGAGCTGGTGACAGACCCTCTAATACTCTGTGCTAAAACATAGTTGTGTGTGAGTAATGTCCAATATTACTGGAGTGTCTATATGTCCATTAATTCCGGAGGTTGTTGACTCTATGTAAGGCAGAGAGAACCTAGTGGCTTTTCTCTAGCGACTCTAAAAGCAAAGTTTGCACACATCAACCTCTATCAAACACTCAGAGACCACAAATAGCCTGGAACCTCCAGCACACACACATAAACACACAGAAATAACACAGATCTGCTTCTTCCGCCAGGGAGAAAATTGGATTTTCGTGGATAAAGTAGTACATCATTTAGGGGTTGCTAGAGGAGGGTGGGTGACCCCCCTCTGCCACAGTCAGCTAACACCAAGAAAAACGTAACCATGATTAAGACAGACAACTCACAGTGGGTGCTGGCCAATTTCCCCTCCTTCACATCCAAAAGGATGGATGTAATATAAGTGGAGGTTGAGGAAATAATCAATACTTTGGAGTATTGTGATATGTTACTGTTCATGGAAAAAAAAATCTAAATTGTTAGAATCGTTTTTTCACATTTTATGTTACTAGAAAAAAATAAGATTGACCACCAGATAGAGCAAGGCTGTCAAAAGGCAAAATGTACTGTGGAGAGCATGTGAGTGGTGTGAATTTGATTTCAGTTTGTGTTTGATTGAACCAAATCACACATTTTTAGAAAGTTATTCTGTTTGTGTTTTACCCCTCCATCAAAAAGGGCTAATGGGCTAATTTTAGTGTATAAAAACCCTAAAACGTGTGTAGAAGTGTTATTGAAGTGATATTATGTTGATGTGGGTTTTCTAAGCATATTGCGTAGTTGTGTTTGGAGAGTGTATGTGCTTTGCCTATTAATTGTTTCATTTGTGATAATGTGAGGAAACATGCTTATTGAGGAATGAGCGTGAGAATGGCTGCTAATCAAACACAATGGAAAACCCATGAAATATTAATAACTGATTATATTGTAGTCAATGTATACTGCATTTTCTGTGACTTTTTGATTTTCTATGCATTTTTTGCTTTGTAAAATATAATCCATGTTCCATGATAACTTGTAGTTAGCTTTTTTGCCAAATCATTTATAGAGTTGAATACCTTAAGCAAGTTTAGTGTTTCCCTTTTCCCAGTATAACATGTTCTTCATATTTTAATGGTTTAATAAAACTTACATGAGTGGATGGATGGATAGATGGAAGGATGGGTGGGTGGGCGGATGGATGGATGTATGGATGGATGGATGGACGGGTGGATGTATGGATGGACGGATGGACGGACGGGTGAACGGGTGGATGGATGGGTGGATGGATAGATGGACGGGTGAACGGGTGGATGGGTGGATGGATGGATGCATGGCATATAGATGGGTAATGGATGATAATGGATAGATAGGTGGACAAATGGATGGATGGATAGATGCATAGATGGGTATTATAGATTAATAGATGGATAGATAAACAAATTGGATAGATGGAGGGATGATAGATGCATAGATGGGCAGAGAGATTAATAGATGGATAGACAGATAAATTGGATGGATGGATGGATGGATGGATGTACAGATGGATTGATGGGTAGACAGATGAAGATGAAGCAGTAGATGCATAGATGGTAGAAGGATGGATGGATGAACAGATGGACTGATAGATGGACAGATAGATGGAGTGGTAGATGCATGGATGGGTAGATGGATAGATGAATGGATGTATAAATTGATAGATGGACAGATAGTTAGATGGGTAGATGAATGAATGAAAGAAAGGATGGATGGACAGATAGGTAAGTAGGTGGACAGATGAATGGATGGATGCATGGATAAATGGCAGATAGACACGCTAGCATTGGTTTTGCACAGGCAAGCACAGCTCACATTTTCATCAGACAATGTATGTTTCTGATTATGTCATTATTTGCACATACTATAATATGTGCAATTCAATTCAAACATGCCTGATTTATTGCGCAGGCTTCCTCTCTACTCATTGATCAGCCTTTTTGTCTTTTTTAGACAAAAAGCTGAAGAATTGTGCCTCTCATGCTTCATTTCCTCATTTGCTTCCTCTCGTTCTTTCTCTCAACCCTGCCCTCCTGTCTCTGTTGCATGCTAACCAATAAAATTAAAGTTATGGTTGTTATAACACTGAATTTTTCATGCTTCATTACAATAATTGTTGACACGCAGGCTGTTTTCTCACCTGATTAGCATATCTGTACTAGCGCTTCTGACTGCCTATCAGCACGCAGCCTTTTCAGAAGTGCAAGGTTTGATAGGATGATTATAGGTTTCCATGGTTGCCTCAGTGATGATGTAATAAAGTCAATCAGCTTGTTTGCGGCTGTGGAGATGAAGCGCCCTCAGTGCATAGCACAAAATTATTCCGTTAACAGCGGTTGAGATGAGAGTAAATTACACCTCTCGTTGTGTTTCTCCTCCTCCTCTCACTTAATTTCCTCTCTCTGGACTGTGGAAATCACTAAGCACCGTGACCTCTATAAATAGATTCAAGTATTCAAATGTTTTTGATTACACTCTTTGTTAATTAAAGGTGATGTGATAATTTATATTATAAATAATTTAAATTAATTAATTTTGCATTCAATTTGATGATGATTATGATGATGTATAATTATTGATACACATACACTGCCGGTCAAAAGTTGGAATTATTAAGGATCATGTTCTGAAAGATCATGTGAAAATTCAGCTTTGCCATCACAGAAATAAATGACATTTTAAATTAAAATATATTCAAATAGAAAGCTTCTTTTAAACTGTAATATTTCATAATATTACTGTTTTCACTGTATTGTTCAGTGTTATTTTAGTGTCACTGCAATATTGTTCATTTTTATTAATGTTTTAAATCATTTTTTTTTTAAAGATTTTTAATTGTAATTTTAATTGAAGTTTTAGTAATTTTGTTGTGTGTGCTGTCATTTTTTTTAGTAGTTTTTGTTTTTATATATTCATTTTTATTTCATTTTTAGTTGTAGTTACTTTATTATATTAAGTTAAACTAAATTAAAATTATAAATATTTTTAGCAGCTGGCTGAAATAAATCGTTTTATTTTATTTCAGTTAAAATATATTTTATTTAAAATAAAGATTTTTTTAAAAATTGTTTGTTAATTTAAATTTTAGTTAACTATAATAACCCTGATTGCTCATCAAATAAATGCAGCCTTTATGAGCATAAGAGAAAAAAAATATTGCACTGTTAGTGCTATATCACTATTGTTATAAATATTACAAGGTAATATAAGTAATACTTTCAGAATTTACAAAATTATCTGTTCAGATAATATATACAGTTAGATAGGCAGTTAGGTGGAGCTATGGTGTTGGTCAGTGGTTGCTAAGCTGTGCTGGATGGTTGCTATCATATTTCTAGGCAGTGCAAGTGCATCTCTAAGCATAATAATCGGCCATAGAAAAAAAAAATGTTGACCACTAATCAGAATATTAGAACTATAAAAAACAAAAAGCAATTTGTCCAAGTCTTTTATTGACCGAGGCCATAACAAACAATCAATGAAATTCCATGCATTGTATGCAGGGGCGCCGTAAGGGGGGGGAAGGTTAGGAAGATTCTAAGGGCCTGACGTTGGAGGGGGGCCCACTGAGGGGGGAACGCGATTTCTACCGAGGGGAACGCGGAACACGATTTCTACCGAGGGGAACGTTAACACAATTTCCGAGGGGGACCTCCGCAACCCTCACCCAAACTCCCGGAACGCGATTGTGATTTCTACCAAGGGGTAGGCTACCCCCACACACCACACTAGAGCCCTGCATGGGCCTCAAATTTAGGCCCTAGCCCGGCACTAGCTGGCCCGAGACGCTCAGGCCCTAGCCCGGCCCGTTTCTGACAGCTTACCGGCCCGAGCCCGTCTTTTTTTCCCCCCCTTCTCCCAAAACAGCTTATAGTACTGTTTCAGCTATTAAAATAGTTCAGTTTTGTATTTAATGGCAAAGTGATTACATTTCGTTTTGTTTTTTTATTAAGTTAATTTCGAAAAACGTTTGGAGCATTTTTGGTTCGTTAAATATACGTTTTTGTTTTTTAAAGTAAGGACCAAGCGGCCAGCGGCAGACAGTAAGCCGATCAATTTAGCCTTCTCAAATCATCACGACTTGCCTAAAATAAAATCTAGCCTATAGATATAAAACAGTTCAAGCATATAACAATGTTTTAAATGTTAAACCTAGATAAATGTGCACTATAACCAATAGTTTGTGCGGAGAGTGGAAGCTGAAGCGCGCTTTGCAGGACATGGAGGCGCCAGCGCGATCACTTGTGTTTTTTTCAGTGGATAGCCTACGCCGTCATTTTTGCTCATAAAGGTATAAAAGTAATACACCATTCGTAACTGTAAAGAGTCTACATTTATTTGTGTGCACTCACAATATCAACAAAACGTTGTGCTTTTATAAAAGAAAGAAAAAAAACATGATGCGCTTTCTGCCGTCTCGTCTTGAACAGGAGCGCTTCACAAAAATGAACTGAAACTCAGCGAATACATGCCTCACAGACATGATAAGTATATCTATAGAAAGCTTTAAATTACTACTCAACGAAATGAAACAAATCAAAAAGTCTTTCATTATGATCAGTCATAATTCGTAAAGATGCACTTCTCTCTAAAGGCTCTGAGGAGATGGCGAGTCAGGATCGGCAACTTCATCCTTGTGACACCGACTCAGAAAACACTAGTTTATTAGTAAATAATTCAAATATCTCCTTACTATTTCCCCCTGACACATTTATGGTAATTACTTTTGCCAGTGCTTTGCGGCAGGCTTAAGCCTATTGCTTGCATTTGAACGCAGAACTATTCAGCTGCGCTGACGGCATGCACCATCCTGCTGCTGCGGGACAATAAACACCGTCGAGCTGCTCTTGACAGTCGCGGTAGCACGGTCTCGTGTTGTTTCTACTAGCTTTCCAATTTTTTTTCATCACTAATTGATGGATGTCTAAAATATAAAAATAAGGAGAAGCGTAAAACAGGCCAGAGGCCCGGCCGGCGCCTGAAATATGACGTGAAAATTGGCCCAAAAAAAGTCGGGCCTGGGCTGAAATGCAGACCCCCCGGGAGCCCGAGTGAATATGCTGTCCAAGGGGCCCAGAAACAGTAGCGGCTCCCCTGATTGTATGTTATTGCCTGTATTCCAGCCACCATTGTGTTGAATGAGCTGAACTGGACTGAAGCACTGGAAGACGTCTTTAAGAAAAACCGAGAAGAGGATCCAACGCTACTATGGCAGGTGTTCGGCAGCGCTACTGGATTAGCTCGCTATTACCCAGGTATAAGCTTGTAGTGTCTGTTTAATTCAGAACTCACATTTCAGTGCACATTACTATCAGAAACAAACACACACACACACACACACACACACACACACACACACATCCTCCCCTCTCTTTCCAAGACTCCACTGTCTCTAATTGGTAAACATAGCATGTAGTCCCAGCTCAAATTACACCAAATCTTCATAACAAATTATAATAACAAATATCTCAGCAGAGAGCTTATTGTATTCTTCTGAGATTTAATGATGACAGATGAGAAAAGTAATAAGGTGCTCAATTCATTTTCATTACTTTCAGATTTGTAATTGGTAAGGCTTTAGTAAAAAATGTTGCATATAAATAGTGTATTAGCCACCGTTGAACCTCTGTCCCTTTACGGCTTTATAAGAGTTTGAATTTCTCATATCTATCCTCATATTTTGCCAAACCTGTACGACTTACTTTCTTCTGCAGAACACAAAAGCTGAATTTTGGAAGAATATCCTGGTTATACTTTTTCATATAATGAAAGTGAGTAAAGACAGGGGCTGTCAAGCTTCAACAAGGAGCATCATAAAAGAGGTCCATATAACTTCTGAAGCCATACAAACACTTCACTTGTGTGAGGAGCAGATCAAAATTATTCACTGGAAAGCTGGATCATTGAACAATTGAACTGGAGAAAGCCAGATCATTGAACGAATCATTCAGACTGGATTTGTGAAACAGGTTGACTCAAAAGAATGATTAATTTACAAATATTTCTCTCATGAACTTTTATGAATGCAGCATGAAATGCAAATGGCAATATTTTCAGTGAACTCAAAGTATATTTTATATACTGTAATTAATTTACTAATTAATTAATTATTATTTTTTATTTAAGCAGCATTTCTGTTAATTGACCCTCCTTAGGATGACAGTAGAGGAGGGTCAATTAACAGAAATGCTGCTTAAATAAATAAATGTATTTATTTATATAAGTTTATATTGGACTTTTATTTGACACCTACATGTGATTCAGTTGTGTAAGGCACTATATTTTCTATTTTAATATTTTCATTGAAAAATTACTTTATTAGTTTGTTTCTCTATTTCAGACTCTGAATATAGTGCACAAATTGTATGGACCACTTTTATGTGTTTTTTTATAGTTTTTTTGTCATGTTGGTCCTCATTCATTTTTATTATATTGAGAGGAGGGCCTGGTATAGTCTTCAGAAATTCATCTTTTGTATTCCATAGAAGAAAAAAGTCATACGGGTTTGGAATGACATGGGTGATTTCTCATGTTTGAGTCAACTATTCCTTTAAGACTATAATATAATAAGATGTGGGCTCCCAACTATTGATTGTCTCCTTATAGATACGTATACGCCTATAAAATATTGATGTTCTTGTAAACTTCAATTCATTTTAGTCGGCAGAACATGGCCAAATCGCAGTGTCTCAGACTATCTGTCGGCACTTACAGCTGCAATCCACTCACTAAATGTCAAAACGTGGGATGCCATTTATGAAGAAACACGTCTTGTTAGATGTTCAGCTGTGATAGTCACAGATGAGCACCCTCATTTGCACCAGGTTATTTTCTCCGTTAAAGAGAAAAATCGAAGCTGAAATTCTACTGGGGCCCTTTTTTTTTCCACGTCGGCTCACTGCAGTCAATATAAACCATAAACCACCCCCCACCGGACACAGAAATAGGTTTCTAGCAAGGCTCGCTGATGTGCTCACGACAGAGATGTGACAAATCAGATGGAGTTTGGGATCAGGGGTCACTCATATTTCCATATCCTGTCTCTGTCCATTTAGCTTCCCCTTGGATGGATGCCAGGAAAACGCCCAGTAAAATCGACCTGTACGATGTGCGCCGGCGACCTTGGTACTAATGTGTATTTCTGTGTGTGCGCTTTGAATTCTTTTTCATTTGTTCCCTTTTTTCTTCAACCTTCATTTCTTTGTTCTCTCAGTTTAAAATTCTCCTTGAAAGAGATCCAGTGCATTTCTTTCTTTTTATCCAGGTATGTTCAAGGTGCCGCGTCGCCCAAGGACATGCTGATCCTTGTTGATGCGTGAGTATTAAGTGTATGTGCTTTTTAAATTATGAATATTATAAATCTTTTTATTATGTACTTAGTCTTAGATGCTGTGCCGCAGATATATATATATATATAGAGAGAGAGAGAGAGCGAGAGAGAGAGAGGGATGTTTGTGTAGATATATTAACATACTATTTATTTAAACATTGTTGTAATTGAGTGCTTTTATTAGGGCTTGAAGGCATAGTTCACCCAAAAATGAAAATTCTGTCATCTTTTGCTTACCATGCTGTTAAATAGTGACATAATTTTAATTTTTTTGTCAACTTCCACTTTAACTGCCATTGTGTTTGTATTGGTGTGTTGCAGGAGTGGAAGTGTATCTGGACTGACCCTTAAACTGATCCGAACCTCTGTCAGTGAAATGCTGGAGACACTTTCTGATGATGATTATGTCAATGTTGTCCATGTAAGTAGGATCACATGCTGTGTGCACACCGCAGATTTTTGATTCGACAACCGTAGGACTCATTCCGGTTTCTGCAATGGTTTACAAAGTAACATTGCATTTTCTCATTCTGCTTTTCACATACATTCCCATACTTTTCCGAGCAATTCTGTAACATTGTTTTGCAGCAGTAGTTTTTCTAGGATGAGTCGCTTTTGTTGTAATATTCCTAATTTGTAATTCATACTTTGGATAGCGCCCCTTTTTGAATCTGCTAAACGAGTAGCCTACATGTGAATCGCGATACTGGTAGCAACATTTTGGCATCTCGACACATTAAACACGCTCAAGTTCTGTTGACAAAGGTGTTGTTTTCTTTAAAGTTGTCAAAGGAATAGTTCACTCAAAAATAAAATGTACTCACTCTTATGCCATCCAAGATGTAGATGAGTTTGTTTCTTTATCAGAACAGATTTGGAGAAATGTAACATTACATCACTTGCTCACCAGTGGATCCTCTGCAGTGAATGGGTGCCGTCAGAATGAGAGTCCAAACAGCTGATAAAAACATCACAATAATCCACAAGTAATCCACACCACTCCAGTCCACCAATTAACATCTTGTAAAGCGAAACACTGTGTGTTTGTAATAAATATATCTGTCATTAAGACGTTTTTAACTTTAAACTGTTGCTTCCGGCTGTCCATAATATTGCTTTCTCCAGTGAAAAATTCTCGTCTGAATCAGGAGAGAAATATGCACAAATCAAGCATATTTACAAGAGAAAATAATCCAAAACAGTCCTAAACAAATATACTGGTGGATTTTGATGTGAGAGGACACATCACATTTACTGGAGGAAGCGTTATTATATAGATTATGGAGCTTTAACTTTAAATAAGTGATAGCTCTAATGATGGATTTGTTTCTTATAAACACACAGCTTTTCACTTCACAAAACATTAATTGATGGACTGGAGTCATGTGGTTTATTTGTGGATTACTGTGATGCTTTTATCAGCTGTTTGGACTCTAATTCTGACGGCACCCATTCACTGCAGAGGATTCAAAGGCAAGTGATGCAATGCAAATGTTCTCCAAATCTGTTCCGATGCAGAAACATTCTCATGTACATCATGGATGGTCTGAGAGTACTTTTTTTTTTTTGGTGGAATATTCCTTGAACAAATTGATAATTTGCTTACCCTCATATAGTTTAAAGCAGTGCAAATCTTCATTATTGGTTGAACTACTCCTTTAAGAAATAATGACCCCTACAACATACATGTCAGGTTTAGACATGAGCATCCTGTGAGCTTCTTTGGTCAGAGGACAATTTGAGAACAAAACTGGCAGCACCCGAGTAAAAGATCAGCTAGCCAAGATGGATTAGAGGCTCCTTCCAAGAGGAATGATATATAGCAATTTCCTCCCTCTTTCTCTGGCCTTCTCTTTCTCACTCAGCCTGATCTCTTCCCCTCACGTTGTCCAGCCATTTTCAATTCAGCACACAGAGCCCAGAAGCAGCCTTTTCATTAAGCGCCTGTTTTCAAGTGGCAAGCTGCAGTCAGATCCATATTTCATTACAACTCATCTGTCTCTCTCTCTCTCTCTTTCTCTGTCTCACACACACATACTGTTGTTGCATCACACAGCAACCTGCAACCCACAAGCTCTAGAAACTCCTCACTTTAAACTGAATTCCGAGTAACAATGTCTTGTTCCATTTTTACTGTACAGCTGCAGCTAAATACGCTTGTCACACTTTTCTGAGCGATTAATCCCATTCTGTACACACACAGTTTGTTATTTACACACATTTTTCTTTTTTATGGAAGTGACAAGCACTTTCTGCAACCCTCAAAACTTTGAGTAGTGAAATACAACTTTTATTAGATCCACATAGTTGCTAATGCAGTGAAGTTACACTTTTTTGGATACTGACAGCTCAACTGAAATGCATCTTTCTTGAAGAATGAACTTCACACTCATGATGGTCCAAACCTGAAGTGATTTTTTGAAGTGAATTACCTTGTCATAAAAGTAGTACATATGCTGTATTCCAAGTGTTATAGACATATGAGAAATGCAAGTTGAAAATCTTGACATCAGGCCTAGCTGATAAATGATTCATTTGAGTCATATCATTAAATAACTCTGATTCTTTCACATAATTGGATTTATTCACAAATCGCACTGATCTGTTTCTTGGACCGCTCACTTTAGGAGAAAAGTACTGTGAATAATAACTTGAAATATGTTTGTATGAATTCAAAAGACTTGGAATATAGTGCCTTTGCCGTATGGACCACTTTTATGATGCTTTTATGTTGCTTTTGTGTCCTTAAGCTTGAAAGTTTCAGTCCCCATTTCTTGTAACTGTTTGAAAAAGAATGAAAAAAAAAAGTCATACATGTTTGAAATGAACAATCACACTCTTTGTTTTTGTACTTGCCTCAAAAACCATGCTTGGTATCCCACATTTTTTAATCTTCAGTGAATAAAGTTTGATTTATTTATTGTTTTCACTTCTCAGAGGATTTTGAGGTTTTCTTGCATTGGAGAATCACTGTTCCGATAAAGGATTAGCTCTGTGAGATCTGTCAAATGGATTCGCTTCAGGGAACATATGCCAATATGCCAAGTAGTAGCGTTTTGTTATGTGTGTGTGAGCGTGCTTGGGTGTATTTGAGCATGAATGCATCAGTTGGATACCCAAAGATCAAATTTTGGAGTGTGTGTTTGTACAGATCAGTAGTTTGAGAGCATCTGTGGTACTGTAATTTAAATAAAAGGGCTTTGTGGGCATTGTGTTGGTTGAATTTATAAATCTATAATATGGTTGTGCTTTTATAGACTGTTGATCGCCACCAGTATAAATAACATATGCTATAAATATGGTAGCTATTTAGTTTATGAATGAGGAAAGTGAGGAGGATTATGATCAATAAACAGTTTTATGGCTTTAGCAATGCAAGACAAATAAAATATCTAATAATTTCAGTTGTAATTAAGCTGCCTTCATGAACATTTTATACATTTTGATTGATAAACAAAGCCAAACCCTTCTTTTGCAAGAGATATTATGCATTCCTGTCAAGTTACAGTGAAGAACAAGTCTTGGAATAAAAATATATTGTAATTAGGGATGTCAACGATTAATCGATGAATGCGAAAACAGTGATAAAAAGTGAATGACAATAAAATAAACCTGCGAAATTATGGGCTAGACGGTGAGGATTTAGGAAAAGAAACAATGCCTAAATATTATTGAATTTGTGGAAATTCGTGACCAACCGGCAAACCAGAACAAAGTCGTGTGAATGTAGGCTATATGGGCTTGAATGACATCCAAAAGCATGGTTGCGATGTAACATTTTCCAGCTAACCAATTATTCCTCTAACAAACAAAGCTTTTATACCACACTTGTCATAATCAGAGCTTATAATTGGTAAATAAATTATTGCTGGATTCAAAACAGCAATTAAAAGGCATTCTGATCGACACGGACAATACGTTTTCATGGAGCATTCAGTGGTGTCACTAAACCGTGATGCCACAATAAGAGCAACGTTCACAAGTTTCTGCATGGACCTAACTATAGTGCACAAGGTTTTCAAGCCCTGAAACAAAATGGGATGCTTTAAGGAAAATGTATAGCCTATGTAGCTAATTAATAGGCCTAAAATAAAAATAACACTTTTTTTCATAATATATATCTGACTTAAATAATTAAGCTACCAGATTTAAAACAGAAGTGTGGCGCTCCATAAACAAGTTCACGGAAAGGAAAGGATGACAACGCGCATTCTGTTTGTTTGCTTTATTTT